GTATTTTTACAGTCTTTATTTTACAGTTAAAGTATATATTTATCATATAAAGTTTAATGTTATAACTAATCGGGGATCCCTTTAAGAAACACAATAAAATGATAAACGGATGTGAAGCCAGAAACAATGCCATTCTCCTTCTAAAAATGGAGAAGTAGGTCACACAGACGTAACCTGAGCTCCGGTGCAGCTGGGGCTGAATCGCTCTCACTGACCTGTTGCCATGTGCTCCAGCGTGCCGACCACCAGGCTGTCATAGACGTGCCCCGACACCCTCTGTGCCACATCGGCATGTAGTTTTGGCTCTTCGGCGATGTGGCGTAGCATCTGGGTGAAAGTGTAGCCCCCGATGGAGCAGGAATGGACCACTATGTCTCTGCCAGAGAATGGAGGCTCTTTCAAAATATTCAAAATCTCCAACCCGTAGCTGAAGCCCCAGCGAGGCCACAGGAAGTGCGTTACTCTGCTCTGGACCAGGAGCACGTCCATGCCACGGTCCAGGTACAGGTCCCTGTATTTGGCCACGGCTCCTGGCTGGGCGCCGAGCCAGCCGAAGAAAACGAGGAGGGGACGGGAGGTGGAGGCAGGGTGGGAAGCTGGATCTGAAAGCAGTGGGGAAACAGAAGATTCTGCAGAGGAGAGGTCGCTGAGGGGCAAAGCTGGGATGGAGCTACACAATATGGGAGTCTGAGAGTCTTTGGCAGGACGTACTGTTGCAAAGTCCACTTCGGTGACAGGAGTGTAGTAATAACTAACACCATTACAGACTCTTTTGGTTACAAACCTCTCTGTGACGACTTCATCAGACTTGGTTGAGTCACTCTGGAATAAACTAGAACAAAAGACAAGTCTGATCAAATCTTCTTTACACAAAACACCTACTTAGTGCGTGCAGCTTGAACTGCACATGCACTTTTTTTATATTTAAACTCAATTCATTATGCAATAGTTCAAGCACAAGCCTATTTAACCAGAACATTTTATTTTAAATGTTGCAACATTCATTACACTGGGTGACCTTAAAATAAGAAGAAGTACAAGTTGTTCTCAAACATAATACTTTTGAACTGTTAAAGGTGGTCTTTAGATGATTAACACATTAACACCGATTAACACTTTACAGGGTTTTTTTTTTATTATTATTTTTATCGCTGCTCTACTGCAGTGCTGTTAAAAATAAACTTGGCACAAAAAGTAAAGAAATTAGTGTTTGGTAGATTATTTTTCTTGTAACGTGTATTAGAAATAAATCTTATACAACTGGTTTAAACGGTACCGCATCTGTTAGGACCATGCTTTTATGGGATGAGCAGTAGAGCTGAGTTAGTGTACATAAAAAAATAAATAAATAAAAAAGGTCAGATGTTATCTGCAAAACAGCTTATTTAGCTGTTTCTACTGACTCTTGTTTTGAGCTTCTGGCACTTTTTATTGCCAAGAAGTGTTGTTACAAAAAAGACATGATCTACCAAACACCAACTTCCTTACTTTTTGTGCTTAAGTTTAGAAAATACAAAGAAAAACTTGTCAACTAAGTTCAATATTTATGCCTTACTCATAATGTCACATTGTACTGGTCTCGGGGCCTTTTCATTATTTATTTGGCTAAAAATTATGTTTTGATATGATTATCCTCATTTTCACGTTTTTACAATTATAATGTATTCTACAAATGCATTTACATAAGTTTCACACTATATATATACAGCGGGTAAAATAAGTATTGAACACGTCACCATTTTTCTCAGTAAATATATTACTAGAGGTGCTAATGACATGAAATTTTC